TGAAAAAGCTTCTGAACATTTGCCACATGGATGAAGTGTTTTTTTTTTTCTATTAGAAGTCCAGACCTGCGTTTAGGGCCATTTAAACAGGACCTGTCAAATACAAGGCAAGCAGAGAAATGGTCGCATGGCTCTGAGGTTTGGTTTGGTTTATGTGCTGCATGGGCTGAATGGACCAGGTGTAGAGCTCTGGCTCTTGGACATGTCCGTGGACGACCTTGCTCTCATCACCAAGAGCCTTGGAAAGCCTCCCAATCCTGGGGATCCATATTTGGACCAGCACCAAGTTTGGAGACCCACAGATGTTGTGGAGAGGCCAGATATTATGACAGTTGTCTCATGCAGACAGTCAAGCTGATTCATATGTGTTAACGATGAAAGGGTATGTGGTGCATATTTTGAGTTTTATATTCAAATTTCATCTTGTATTTTATTGAATTTTTTTATCTTGTAGTTGATATATGGCCACAATATGTACCACTACACTTAAATAATGTTATATACACTGTCCTTCTCAACTCTCAAAGCTGTTCGAGAAAAAAAGGCAAAGCTAACATGATAACGGCAATCACTAATTAACCAGTATTTTTTTTTCTTTTTAAAAAGTTTACTTAAACATTCCTTATGAAATAACATTTAATAAGAAATATACAAACATATTGACACAAATTGTGCATTATAGACAATTATTTTTAAACAAACCATTGCAGTCGGTTCTGATAGGCTATACATTTCTACTAATTTATCTTTATTTACAGTTTTATTATAAATTTTCTCTAGACTTTACGGACCCTCTAGACATGTTCCCGTAGTCATACCGGGCAGGTATTCCTCACTAATTCAAAAACTCTGTCAGTGTTACGACGAGAGAGAGCTTCATAAAATAAAAATGGGTCGAGCTCGAAGAAAACTTTTAATCCCAACAGTGAAAGTAAACGTCCTGCAACCAAATATGACGGCACTAGGCTACATAAAATAAAATAAAAACAAGCTTACAAATAAAATCCAAAAACACTTTTAGTTTGTGTCGAATGATGTGGTTGCAAAATCGGTGCCACTTGATTCATGTATTTTCATGTTACGCTTTTTATAATGTTTGTTAATGACTTGTTCATTAAAGTGTTAGCAAAGAATCTTTTGAGAGATAAGTTCAAATAAATTATGATGTGCTCGTGGAGTAATTGATTTAATGAAGTTCCTATGAAACTATTAAAAGCGAGTGGAGGTCATGCGAGCGGCACCCCTGAGCGCTCATTGTCAGATGTTTAACTCAAGCAATCTTTTGGGAAAGACATCGGGGCTAATAGGTGAACTCACAGCTGTCTGAGTCGGGCTCGAGCTTTCAGAGCAAATAGCAAACAACTACTCATCCGGCCTCTAACTTAACGGGACGGCAAACCTTCTCAACAGCCTCATCTTGAAACGCATGCACGAAGGACAAACACGACACCTAATCAATAAGTGCGCTAAACGACTGTTAGTCACAACGATAAAAGCATGCAGCATTTTTTTCCCTTCAGAGTTGAGCTCATAAAACATGTACTCACGTTTCACTGTATACACACCCCATGAGTTTTCGCCCATGCGTCAAAAGTTTTGGTGTCCGTTTTTAGAGTTCAGCCTCGGAGTGCAGGGAGGAAACATGCAGCCCTGCAGCTGCAACTGGATTGTGTTTTCTCACTTATTCGGGAAACTTAAGATAGTAAGTAGGCAGGTAGGGTGCTTGGAAGAGTTTGGCAGAGTGCCTGGAGAATGAATATGTGCCCAGTTTTCTTGGTCTTCATAGCATACTGTGGTAAAACACTCAACGGATGTTTATAATACCTCGCATACTTTGTTGTTTTTATTTTGAGTTTACCAAGAGTTTAGTTTGGTTGTTTTAAAATGTTTTTTTTTCTTCTTCCGTGGCTGTCTTTAAAGATACCGACTGAAAAAAAAGAAAAGAAAAAGACTTCTTATGCAAGACTGATATTTTAGCAATGTACAATTCTTCAACGTGATTTAAAGTTATGATTAAATAACACAATTATCGATTAATAAACAGTCACACAATTTTACAAATAAAATGTTATGTTATTTTATGATATTTATTTGATTAAAATGTACCTATCATTTAGTTAACACTATAAGATTTTGTGGATATAAACCACTAATCGTTTTATTGATAAAATAGATTAATTCTTGATGCATTCTACGTGGTTGACAAGTGTACCGTCAAAGCTGACCAAACCAAAAGAGAAATTATAAACATCATGTACAATTTTGGAATTATTTGTGTTATTTAATAGCCTACTTAATGCACTTGTCTCTCTCTCTCTCTCTCTCTCTCTCTCTCTCCCTAGACCCTCAAACACTATGGCAAATATTCCATTAGTGCCGTAATTTACCTCTGAGACTTTCACACTGCCAGATTTCATCTGCGAGCTTGCAGTTGAACATATGTGCGACGTTCAAACAGATAAAGTGTGAAGTGCATTTTTCTAATGGGGAAATTGCAAAATATAATGCTTTCTTTTCATTACAAGTGCTTCACATGCTCTCGGTGCATCGCTTAAAACAGGGTGCACAATGACTCGGGTACTTTGAACCCTCGTCAAACGCATAATGAGAAGCTGACGGTGTGAAATCTGACTAGACTGCAGTAAACAGCCTCCTCTGATGTGATCATTCTGTCCAATAAAGGCAAAACGGGAGAGAACTCGCTGCGTTTTCACACTGACTTCTGCTTTGTCTTTTGAAAAGTGGCGTCTGAGAGTCTGACTCTTGGAGTTACTGATTTGCAGGCTGCATGTTAAGGTAGACCATGTAAGTGATTTCCACGGGCATTGCACTAAAGGAGAACAAATCGCTGACAAAGGGGGTAGCTTTTCGATTCAATAGCGTCGTTAGGACGACCGAAAAGTATTCCTCAGATAATAAGTTCTACTTCAAAGCGTCTCCCATTCAGCTGTGACTGCTGCAGCTTTTATGAAGTCCCCCCCTTTTCACTCGGACCGGACTATCTCTTTGGTTATTTTTCACCGTGTTTATTTTGCACTATTCAAAGGGCACTTGTTTTAAATAAATAGAAGATCATTCTTTCCTTGAGCAAATAATAGTTCGTGGACAAAAGGTGGACAGAGCGCGCGCTTATTTCCGAATTAAACGTTAATGCGCGCGAGGGATTTCAAAGATTTATAAACAAAAATATGAGCGATTCTGATTAAGAGCAAATTGACTGCTCTAACGTAGCATGAAACTTAAGGTCAGTGCGACTGTATCTTAATAGAGTGTTTCCAATTGAAGTGGCCTTTTTCCAGAGTCCGGTAAATACACACACGCTTTATGATGTGCCCTTGAACTTCACACTATTTATGGGGCGTTTCACTGACACAAAACGCTAGATTTACTATCTTAAACGACTCACCGACTTGTGTGCTTTATTCCACAGGGGTTAACGTGATGTTTATTAGGACGAAATCAAACTTTCTTAGGAAGAGTCTTATAACTTCTTGATACACTTTTCTTCACGCGCATTTTCCACCCACCAAATGCAATGTTCAAGATGCCTGTTTGTCTGTTTCTGCTCTTATATAAAATGAAAGAATATGCTGATTTTAAGGGACAAAACGGTTCGTGGGAGAGGTTTCTGCTTTGATGATTGACCATTTAGCGGCAGTTAGTAGTTTTTTTACCACAAATATTCAAATGGGACCTATAGAAATCCTAACGCACCGTGCAGTCTTCCGTTCTGATGTGGAACTCTTTGAAGTGGTGCAGGACTTGCGCTGGTCAATTCTGAGTCTATAGTCTGGGACAGGGGGCACTTTGAAAGTGTGATTGTGCGTTTTAATGAAGGAAATAAGACGGGGCACTTTGTTTCATATTCTCCATACTACCTGCCTTCTTATTGTAAGGCAGCTTTTATGTCTTATATTCCCATGAATGATTCATGTATTGATGGCTTTGTGCTATTCCACTTTTCATTATTAGTTAAGTGACGGTTCCCTTTTGAACGGACATTGGGAATATTGGGCTAGGGAATATTTGTATATTGTATAGAAAGTATGTATTGTAGAACATTGCTTGTTTCGTTTAATTAGTTTGACTGTCCCGAGTTTTACAGAAAATGAAATATTGTTACACATTGAATGTTTAGTTTGTCGAATTTTAAAAGAGATGCGCACAATGATCAATGAATGAATCAAGGCCTTTTTTATTGAAAAGACCATATTTACACGTCCTGCCTTTTATTCAAGTTTTCCATATATCTATACACAAACATCACATTTCTTCACGACCTTCTTACGTTTTTTTCCATCAACACCATCATGCACCTCAACAGAAAGAGTTACTACACGGTTCATGCGAAATATTCTTCACATTATACAGCCTATTCAAGTAAGACCTTTTTACAGAACACGATAAAAAGCATCACTTCTTTTCACCAGAATTATATTATTCTTTGGTGTATCTGTACTTCCAGACCAACATTAATACCAGCAAATAAATTACAATGTACAAAACTCGTTGAGACGCTACGAAAACATTCACAAGCATCAATACCATATACTATTTACAAATCAGTCAGGGACAGGCCTGTCATTGATACATTATTTAGGGTCTCAATGGACATATTTAGTACTCCTTAATCAGAGTTACATTGATTTTGCATAAAATATAGGTTTAAATATTTTAAATATCACAAAAAACCGTCCTGACCACAGATCTTGTATAAACTTTACAAAGACTCCACCCATTCATTTTTTTGACACTGACAAAATACAAAAACTCAAAATTATTGTCACTGCAATTTTTGCCCCTCAGACATTTAATGTGTAGAATGATTCTCTATAAAAGATGTATGTGCAACAAAGGGGTGTAGTATTACTAAAACAACCTAAAACCTAATTTGTAAATCATTTTAGCTCATATTATTTTATGTCAGGTAAAATCTTTTTAAAAAATCGATGTTTCCTTCATATCTGATATTTCATGTTGCAAATCACAGATGCTTATAAATGCAATTATCATATGAAACATAAATTGCATCAATGCTCTGAGCATGTTTTAAGGGTAAACTGAGAGGCAAAATCTTTCACCCATTGACATCCATAGGTGTTCCACTTCTTCGAATGGCAACACTTGAATTTTGTATTATTATTTTTGTTAATGTGGACCATTCACAATGAATATATTCCTTGCTGTTCACATCAGAGCATTGCCCTTGGATCTGTGTGTCTGAAAGAGTCCTCGTCGTCGGATTCCGACGTTGGCACATCGCTGGAGGGTGTGTGTAGATTGTTTGGTCCAGCACTCCCTTGGCACACGTACCATTCGTTTAGGTTGGTCACCTGAGGGGAAAGGTTCGACGAACGGTTCCTGTGGGGATCCAGGTTTGGTGAGAGGGCATCACCGATAGTCGTAGACGAGGGATGGTAAGTGGAGCCCGTGTTGGCGGAAGGGGGCGGAGGAGACTTGCAGTGAACCTTCATGTGTTTGCGTAGAGAGCTCGGGTGTGTGTACGACTTGTCACAGCCCCTCACTTTACAGAAGTAAGGCTTATCGCTCGTGTGGACGTGAGAGTGCTTCTTCCTGTCACTGCTGTTGGCGAATTTCCTGTCACAGCCATCAAACTCGCATTTGAACGGCTTCTCACCTGGCAAAGGAGAAAAACAGAGCATTTAGATATGGAAATCACGCATACATCTTTTAAATGTTCTTGTTTACAAGAAAATAAGAGCTAATGAATGTTCCATATACTGTCACATACTCTTTCCGTGAACAAAGTTTGAAAACCACAACATTACTGTAACCCCACAGTACTTATTTTCTGCTGTTACATATGGAATGTTCAGGCGCACCACATGACTTATGCAAGCACTCTGTAAATGCTCTTATTTTCTCCGACTGAACCTTGGCAAATCTTCTCAAGAAATCTTTTTTTCCCCATTGTTTTTACTGGATATGATGACAACTGATAAAACATTTCGGCCCACCAAATGTATCAGTGGAGTAAAAGAACTGGCCCGGCTTTGCAAGATATCCAAATCAGAGCTATAATGTTGTCACAAATAAATCACACGTTGTATTGATTCACTGTATCATACCGTGTCATACAAGTCCTTATTACAAAAATACAACAGGTGACTTTTTACACATTCATTGCTGATTCAAGAAACCACCATGTTACAACCATTTTAAATGTAGGTGGGTTTGACACGCTAGCCTACATATTCAGGGCACAATGTACGTCAGCACGTGCTGAGAGCATAACATGATACAGTAGATATAGTTAAAGACCCTAAACATTGCCAGTTGTTAAGAAGTTGCAGGTATTAACAAGTTGTCACTGTATAATGTTCACGTGAGACCATATTTGCACTGAGTAGAGGAAGAGCTTTATATTTATTAAGATATTGTCTATAGCCTTTGTAGCAACAGATAAGCTACACAGCACACACGTGTAGCATTTTCTTAGAATACAGGTATAAGAGGAACACCAGAAGCAGAGGCCTTCCTCGCTCTGCAAAGATGCCAACATAGTTTGGTTAATCAAAATGTGTAAATGCTATGGCTGGCACATTCTCCATATTTACATTAGTATGGATCTATTCACACACTGTTTGTAATTCCCTGTGGCTTTAAAAGAGACACAATTGTGCCGAAAACTTCGTTCGTGTTACTATTTTCCCTTCAGCCTAATACAACAATTTGTTTATTTGCTTATTAGTATTTACACACATAGCATTTAAGTGCAACTGCAGCCATATATCTTCACCTTGGAGTTTTGCACTCCTTAAGAAAACATTGCATGCATTAGAAAATAATACTAGCCTACGTAATACACTGGTCTGTTCATAACAGCGTGTCTGTAGAGTACTTTTTCCCACATGTACTAGTAGCAATAAGTACGTTGATCTCACAGCATTTTCAAAGTGCATGACGCAAAACAACACCAAGGGATACTTTTGCTTGGCGAATACGCACTGTAAACAAACAGCCCATTTAACCTCTAGGTTCTATGCGAAGGGGGATATTTCTGCATGAGGTGGGAGGACAAAATGTGACTTTGTACCAACGTTGCTACATACAAATAAAATTAGATTATCTGCCAAGTAGCGAAAACACGTTCAATACGCGACGCCTATGAACACGACTAAAGTTGTTTTCAAGGAATTTGTTAACTTTTCACTAACCTGTGTGCGTCCTCTTGTGAATCTTGAGATTTTCTGAGCGCGCGAATACTTTGCCACAACCGGGAAAGGGGCACGGGAACGGCTTCTCGCCCGTGTGCACGCGAATGTGATTGATCAGTTTGTACTTGGCTTTAAACGCCTTTCCCTCGCGCGGACACTCTTCCCAGAAGCAGACGTGACTGCTCTGCTCCGGTCCCCCGACGTGCTCCACCGTGACATGGTTGACGAGCTCGTGCATGGTGCTGTAAGTTTTCGAGCAGGGTTTCTTGGACGTCTGTTCCTGGTCAATCCACTTGCAGATGAGCTCTTGCTTGATGGGCTGCCGCATGTACCGCAAAAACGCCCCCGTGGCTCCGTGAGGAGCCGTGGCGAGGTTCACATTTAAGTTCATGGAGTTGTAGCTGTGAAGTGAAGAAGATCCATAGTGATCGGGCCTGTGGCCGAAGTGCTCTGGCCTGCCGTAGATGTCCCCCGGTAGACCCAGACGCATCTGCCCGTTGAGGGCATGGTGGTGGTGATGGTGGTGGTGGTGGGCACCTGGGGCCGCTTGCTCGTGCAGTCCAGAGAAAAGTGGATGGGCACCACCTTCCGCGTGCCCATAAGCACCTGTTGGGGAAATGAACATGCCATGGTGATGAGGGGAGGAGGCGGAACTATGCTGGTCGCCAAGTGCATGCATAGCAGAGGCTGAGAGCTCTCTCCTGAGGATGAAGTCCCTGTTGGTGGTGTAGCCTGTGTGGGGGTGAGCCACGGGGAAACCAACTGTGGTCTGAGAAGACGTGAAGGATGCCGCGGTCTGGGCTTCGGGATGGCTTTGAACAGGCTGAGAGGGACTAAGTTTGAGAGCATTGGTCTGTGCCATGTGCTCGGGTCCAAATGGAGTGAGAGCCACTCCGGGGTCGTTGCCCATCTCCCCAGGGTGGAGGTGGGCATGGTGGGAGTGCGGGTGATGCCCCCCAATCCCCGGGAAGCCTGTCATATTCTGATGAGGAAGGGCTTGAGTCGATGCCAAATCCGCTAATCTTATCGCCGAATTCCTCTTGCTTAAAGGGGGCTCCATCACTACGCTGTCATGTCCACGCTCACCGCTATTGTTTTCGCCAACTACGGGCCTTCTGAAACCATTAAAATATATGTATATGGCCGTCTATAGAACTTCTTTTGTCCTGCCTCTAACTCTGCTTGCTCCTTTTCCCACTCTGTCCTCAAGCGATTGGCAGAACATACAACAGTTGGAGGACACAGTGGGGAATAGAGTTTAGAAATGGCACTGCGGGTATTGGACAGATTTCGGTGACTGGCAGTTAAGAGAACGAAGCGATTGGCTGTCTTTCAGCGCAGAGGCTCAGCGGGGTTCCGCCCCCTCACTCTCTTCATCACTGTTCACTCCAGAAAGTTGTGCTCACAAACTTACAGGCAAATCTGTTTACCGAGACACACACACACACACGCACACGTGGAAGGATGTTGTTTTTCTCTTTGCACAAAACAGTGACACTACACACGCTGGAGCATATTGTGCAAAAACACCACACACACTGCTTGAAATATATTTATAAAATAAAATAAAAAATAAATAAAAGTAATATTTAAAACGATGTCGAGCATTAATCCGGGAAAAAATTCTAATTGCGTTGTATTACGTTGACAGATGTACAGATTAAAGATCAACTGGGGAAAATGAAAAAAAAAAACAGCAACAAACAAACAAACAAAAAAAAACCCACATTTGGATACAAACACATACATGCTGTACCAAACTTGTTTTTTAAATTGTTTCAATGTATAGCCTAGGTAAAACTAAATTATTAGATACATAAAGCAATATAATTTTTGTTTGTGTGAATCAAAAAGCCTTTATGCCTTTAACAAAAATTGCAAGAAACTACGTTCATGAAATTCTTAACCTACTTTGTCCAGATGAGTTTATAGTAATGTAATTTTATATAATCAACATTAGCAATTTAGCAATAAAAATGTTAAATTACATTAAAATGCAATCAATGTAATAGTTTATCATGGTTAAAAAACGCATTTGTGAACACTGTAGATCTTCGGTCCACTGTGCGCTGTCAGACACTGATAGATTTCGACGTAGAAAGTACAGAAGAAAAAAAGCACCCCTTGACATACTATATATATATATATATATATATATATATATATATATATATATATATATATATATATATATATATTACAAAATATAATCTCTCCAAAAAAAAAAGCGTTCTGTGACATGATCCTATAAACAAACGTTTTCCTTTAAATTTAAAGTTATTTTCTCAGTGTTTTTTTTTAAAAGAACTTATTACTATTCACACAATTTCATCTCATGTTTGTTTGTGTGTGCTGTACGTGTGTGTCATGCACGTCCACACCCTTTTAAAGTCCATGTTGAACTCAGCAGGAAGTGTATTCTATTGATTTAATATGACTTAATTCAAAGACATCCTTTAAAATGCTTCAGGGCAGTTGTTACCATATTCCATTTTTTTTTTTTTCAAAACTAATTACCAAAGTACAGCAAAAGGTTAAACTGGAATAACAGGCCAAACCTGTCTTAACAATAGAAAAATAACAATTCTACTTACCAATTGTTAGGTCACAAGTCTTTTTAACAATACTAAAAAATAATTTCAACATCCTGAATAAATATTAAATATATCAATATTGTAGTCAGATATGTAAAACTGCTCACTCAAATTAATCAAACATTGAAAAAAATATATTTATGAGATTTTGTTATTTTAGTAACAGAAAATGTCCTGCATAATCATGCCTGTCAGCTTTGTCAAGGGTCTTAATTTAGGGGGAATGTAACCACGATGTATGCTGGTTAATATGACAAGCATTACAATCTATGCATTCTAATTGAGATTTACGACATCCCAACATTTACCTCTGAATTGTGTTGGACGAACAGACCGTAATCAAGAGTGTCTTGAAAAATAATAAAATCGTATTAATTGCAGAGTATGTTCCAATAAAAGTTAATAATGACGCCAATTCATAAATAATACATATGGTTTTGTTTTTTGGTTTTTTTAAAAAGCTTGTGGGTGAATCTGAATTTTCGTTGGTTTATGAAACGACGTAACGGAGAGGGGCAGCACTTGTCTTACAACCTCTGAACAGAGAGGATTTCTTAATAAGTTCAAAGGGTAGCTTATGTGTTCTCCACGGATCGAAGGTCAAACACCCTTGAAATACCCAAGGTCACTAAAAGTAACCAACAACGCATCACCATATTGATAATGTCAAAGTTAAAAAAGATGCCAATTGTCGCTTTGTCTAAGAGCATGACACATTAATGTAAAGCAATATTTCACAGAGTTATGATCATCAGGTAGCCTGTGGCAATTTAAAGGTTAGTTGGGAATTTCTGCTTTCATATAAGAGGGAAAAAATCAGGATCGGCAAATGACGTATATTTTTAATAATAAACCAAAGTCGTTGCCACAAGAACTATGTGTGTGTGTGTGTGTGTGTGTGTGTGTGTGTGTGTGTGTGTGTGTGTGTGTGTGTGTGTGTGTGTGTGTGTGTGTGTGTGTGTGTGTGTGTGTGTGTGTGTGTGTGTGTGTGTGTGTGTGTGGTATTAGCCTTTTCGAACTTTTTCCCTTCCTTGCTACATGAGAAAAGAAGAACAAAAACTGCGGCTATGTGTTCCAGGCCGGCTGCACTCACTCTAATTTCTCTTTCTTGTTCTCCCTGCCCATTGAAAAGGGGAAAGGGTTTTGTGGTTTTCTGGAGAAATAAAGAACTTCTTAGAGAGGTCGGCAGACGTGACTTTGAACTTGGATCAGATCCTGTGTTTCCTGTGGAGAGGGTAGAAATAGTCTTGGAAGAATGGTACATAACGTTAAAACAGCATGGCTTTGAGCTGAGGCACATAGAATTCCCAAAGTTTTATACATCCTCCGCCCTATTATTTACAGCTTAAAGCGTTCGGAGGAGAGGAAAGACAAGACAAAGTGTGTTGTGCGTTGGAACGGACTGGGACTTAGGTTCAGTGAAATTGTAAGTAACCCTCCTTTAAATAAATACTAACATTTAAATAAACGCTGGGGTGTTACATGTAGGACTTTTTCTTAGATCAGAAATGGTCCATGGAGTGTCTTGTGTAGGCTATTGGCCTGGAATCCACATGTGCTTGGATAACTTCAGTTGGAAGGTTTCGTTATTGTCCGGGAGTGTACAGGGTACATTGGCCAGTAAAGAATGGCATATACGCATGTTCTGTGACCACAAAATACTACCGCTGAACTTGATTTTAAATCATGCAGATTCCCTGATTTATTCAATCGGAAAGACTAGGCTCTCGGTCCATGACGTCACTCTTTTTTATTAAAGGTAAATCATATTGTGCTTGTTTGACACGAGATTGTAATCATATCTCGCTAAAATACATTGCCATTTTGATCTTGGATGTGCTAAAATTCTCAGAATACGTGTGCGCACATAGGTTTATAGGTTGTGCTTATAGTGGTAGGAAAAAATATAGTAGCCTAATACCTACCAATGTCTCAAATGTATACTGTTGTAGTATTTGCTGTGTTTTTAAACCGTATCGTATAGAGTTTATGTTTCTGTTATAAGGGGAATAAAATTTGAACAATGTTATTCAGAGTAGATAACAGAGTTTTGGTGCCAGCTACGAATAAGTGCGTTTTTTAACCCAATAAATGAATAATTATATGTAACGATGTTGATGGCAATGACGATAATGTAGCCTACTATATAATGCCGACACGTCTCCTGCCTAGTTTTCTATAACATTGATTTTTAGTAGGCCCACTCCATATCTAAATAGGCGAGTGTTATATTTATTTATGAGTGCACGTTTGTTTGTTTTTGATGTGTCAATCAACACTCGTGGAGACATGGTCACGTCCTGATACAAACTGGATGCGAACTAGTGTTTCATTTCGACAAAATGTGTTGTCACACTCACGTGCAGATTGAGTCAAGGCACCTCGAGCGAGGTTTGTGAGTTTGTATTTCATTCACGCTAACCTTAATGTCTGTTTGTTGGTTGTAGCGAAAGTAACTAACTGGATTTTGCTAAACCTAAATGCCTCGGACATTTTAAATCATTAAAGAAGTATGCAAACTATAGGCCTACTGATGTTTCAGAAGGATTTACACGTCCACCAAAGAATTATGGGTTGCACTTACTCTTATGAGCCCACGTGGCAATTAATTTATAATTATTAAACGATCTTATTAAACGCGAGTATTTTTGCTTTCCCTCTACCTATTCCCCGAAAAGGCTCTCCGAAAAGTAGGCGGTAATTATCGGTGGAAGATGGCGATCAGCGATTAGTTGCCAAAGGAGTGCGTTGGATTGGAGGGGCACCTAGGATTGATGAGGAGCGGCAACCAATGAGAGCGCGTCAAATGAATGACCGGGCTCCAGTTAAAGGGGGCGTAAGAGGAGGTAGTGCCAGTCCACTGAGAAAGAGGGACCCTCCGAGATAAACATAGACAAGCGAAAGAAATAAACATTCCAATTCGAGATGCTTCAAGAACAAGGAAGACTTAGTAAGACAATGACTCGTATTTTCGTGTATTCTGAAAATAACGACATCGACTCAGTTTGAAAGGAAAAGCGCAAAGGAATCTTCTCGTTTCGTTGCATTGGGGATTTTGAGTAACAAGTTATCCACAAGAAAAATATAGCCTAACTTAATACGCAAAGCTTTTTTTCCCAATGAGCGGATCGAACTTCATCGCCTCATGTCGTGTTATCAAATCTGGAAGTTAATATTCCCGTAGCGCATTCGATTTTATTTTGTTATATGTTTTGTTGAAGCGCCGTGCAAAGACTGCTTGAAAGAGAATTGCTTTTGCTCAACGAAAGCATGTTACTGGACGCTGGGCATCAGTTCCCTGGTTTGGGAGTGGGCACATTTGCCAGGCATCATCACTCCTCCAGTGAGATGCAGGACAGAGACTTGAGTTTAGCGCAGAACAGCTTCGTCGACTCGGCGCACATGGGCGCCTTCAAACTGAACCACGATCTCTCGCCCGGACAGAGTTCTGCATTCACGAGCCAAGCGCCCGGTTACCCCGCAGCGGCTCTGGGCGCGCACGCGGCTCATGTCACATCATACGCGAGCTCGCCGTTCAACTCCACGCGGGACTTTCTCTTTCGCAGCCGTGGATTCGGGGAATCATCACCGGCGGGAGGCCAGCACGCACTCTTCGGCCCCACTGCCGGCTCGC